ATGTGGTGGGGCGTGGGGTGGGGTGGGAGGTTGGATTGGTTTTCCAGCCAGGGCATGTGGCATTTCTGAAGGCATTTCCAGGGCGGGAGCCCTGAAGGGATTATTCCCCTTTGCAAGTGGGAATTTGGCCCTCCCAGAGAAACATACATGACACGTCAAGCTGTCCTTTTTTATTTACCTTTTTTGTTTAAAAAAAATAAATAAATAACTGAACAATAAAGTAACTGAGCTGCGGTTGAAAGGAGGCTTGGAAGGGATTCAGGTTTTTCTGATTCCTATTTTGCAAGTCCACATTTTCCACGACTTGACATTTGGATTCTAGAGCCTTCCTCTGCCCTTCCCCCATTAATTCGAAAGAACCTGGAATTTCATTCCATTCTCTTCATTTGCTTCTGAAACTCTGTAGAACTGCCCTGGGAAAGTGACCTATGATGCCCAGAAATCTTCTAGTACTTTCTTCTTTCTTTCTCTCTTTTTCTTTCTTTCTTTCAAGTGTTCTGCTGGTTGGTTGAGCTTCATCCTTCTGAACTGTGGGAAAACTGGGGTTCTGCCCTGTCCACACCATCACTGATGGGAGCTTTGTGTTCTGCTTGTCTTTTCCCCAAGGAGATGATAGAAAGTGACATCTCATCTACGATGTCAGGAATTCTGCAAAACTCAGGGCAAAGTCATCACCCCTCTCCACAGGAGTACAGGTGAGGGCTTCAGCAAAAACAAACCATTTCTTTTTTAATTGTTTAACGCGTTTATGTGCTGCTTATGGTTTCTGCGCAAGAACCATTGTTACCTTAAATTTTGCGGTTTTGCAAGACAGCCCGAAGATCTCAATTTCAAAGTTGGCCTCCCTGAGGGTGCCTGGGCTTGTGGCCTGGGGCAACGGGGACCACTCAAAGGCCAGTCTTTTGTCTCCTCCAAGAGAGGTCCCCTCCTGGGTGACAGACTGGGCATCCTGGTGAATGTTAAGATGACAGTGGCAGTTACTGCTTCCCATACAGTGTCCTAAGATTGGCTCCAGGAAATGTCCCCCCAAAGCTTTGGGGTGTGGGGGAGGAATTGGCAGCCACACTCCTTGGATGCTGCAGAAGTTGTGAGCGGGAACTCCTGAATTCCTAGCCTGACTGTGTGACTTTCAGCAAGGCCCTTGACCTCTCTGGACCTCTGGACCTCATTTCCTTATCAGTTAAATGACGCTCTTGAATGTATTTGAAGAATCAATTTGATGGAGCTGAGGCCAAAATAAGTTGTTTCTTGAGACAGGATGAAGCGAGATATACACGGGTCGGGGGAGCTCCTCAGAGTCCTTTGCCCGTTTTTTCTCTTCAAGCCTCAGAGCTAGAACGGCCTCTCGGGGTTCGACGAGTCCAGCCCCTTTCTTTTACGGTTGGGGAAACTGAGGCCAAGAAGGGAGAAGGGGCCAAGAAGGTCACACAGCCAGGGGAGGGAGGAGGAGAAAAAAGGAATGCGCTGGAGTTCCCTCCCAACCTCTCTCGCCTGAGGCCAGGAGGCCTGACTTGGTTCCCAGTGCCCCACCTGTCAAGGCAGGCATCGTGTCCATGGGTTGAGGGGGCACAGCCCAGATTATGGAGTGGGGACAGGACAGGGGCTGGCCTGGGAAGAGCAGGCTGTCACCTCGGATCAGACCTGTTTACCCAGGGGCTGTCTGGCCTCCTGGGGCCACTACAACTCACCAGCAATGCCTTCTGGGGCAGACGACAGCCCCCAATTAGAGCAAGGTTTGCTTCCTAAGGGCTGTGGGCCTGGAGGCTGCCTTCTGAGATCCGAACGAAGACGCAAATGCAAAGAGATGTTTGCTGAGATCTTGCTGTGTGCAGATCTGGGACTCCACATGTACGCTAGGCATGCAGCAATCTGAGAGCACCTACTGTGTGCCCAGCTTGGGAAGTTGCTGGGATGAGCCCCCATTGCACAGATGAGGAAACTGAGGCTTGGAGACATTAAGTGAAATCTTGAACCAAGAACCCACCACCAAGGACCTCTGGGCTTCCTTCCAGCCCTGAAAGGGTTTAAATAATGGCAGGTGTAGTGGGGGCAGCATAAGGGTGTTAGGAGCTTGGGCTCTGAAATCCTCTATAATCCTGGTTGATTCCTGAGCCTCAGTTTCCTCGTCCATAAAATGGGGATAGAAATAGTACTCACTGCATGGAGTTATTATAAAGGTGAAGGAACAATTTCTGACTCTGCCACTTGCCAATTGTATGATTCTGGGCGATTTCATTTCTACACCTTCATTTGTCTGTGTCTGTAGCAGGGATAATAAAAGCTACGGGTTTTAAATGTAATATCTATGGAAGTGTCTGTCACCCAGCAGGCACTCAGTGTATCGGGGTGAATCTCCCTCTGTCCCCCCTGCCGGAAGCCCATGGGAAAACAGGTCCTTCCCCTGGACCAGCTGGAAAAGCTCAGAACCATTGATTCTTACTGTTGCCTAAAGCACCCCATAAAAGCATCAGAGTTAGGGAATCAGGTGTTTAAATTTTTTTTTTAATGTTTGTTTAATTTTGAGAGAGAGAGACAGAGACAGAGCACGAGCAGGGGAGTAGCAGAGAGAAAGAGGGAGACCCAGAATCCGAAGCAGGCTCCAGGCTCTGAGCTGTCAGCACAGAGCCCAACGCAGGGCTCGAACTCACGAACTGCGAGATCATGACCTGAGCTGAAGTCAGGCGCTTAACCAACTGAGCCACCCGGGTGCCCCAGGAATCAGGTGTTCAGAGCAGCTGCTCTGGAGTCAGACGTGCCAAGTTCAAAGTCCAGCTTTGGACATGTCACGTGATTTGCTTGAGTCTCCTAATCTTTCCCATGAGCACGATTAGGGCGCAGTCGCTGCTAAAAGGACTGAGTATATTTTATAGAGCAAGAGACACAGAACCAGCATTTGCCGGTTCTTACTACTTAGTTCCATTAACAAGTGTTAAGTTTCTGCAACAGTTGGGGTCTCTGGAGGGCCTTCGTGTGGGGGCCCTGGAGGAACAGGGTGGATGAGGGGGTTCCCTGAACCCAGATTTCCAGTACTCCCCAGTCGGGGCTCCCACCAGCTCCAAGCCTTGGGGTCTTGGCCAGCCCAGCTCCCAAACTCTCTGGGGTACTGAGCAAGCTGTCCCTCTCCAGAAATAGGGCAGAGCAGGCAGTAAGCTTACTGGGGTGTGTGTGTGTGTGTGTGGAGGGGGGGTGTCAATGCCTACCCAGTTCCCTGACCAGCTGGCAGGGGCGAGGCAGTGGAGCTAAGAGAAACAGTCTTGCCTCAGCACAGGATGAGTGGCCTGAGTGTCCTGCCTTATATTTGCATGGGTTTGGGGCTTTCTTGTGTTAAACAGCTACCATGTCCCTGAGGGCAGAAAAATAATAATGGTGACAACAGCAATAATAATAATAATAATAATAGCAGCTGATGGTTTCTTAACCCTTTACTACCTGCCTTCCCTGTGCCGAAGCCATCCTGTGAATGTGGCACTCCTGTGCCCATCTGGCAGATAAGGAAACCAAGGCTCAATCTGATTAAATGGCTTTGCATGATGACACAGCTAGTCGTGGCCAAAGTACCACTCGAACCTGAGGCTGTCCCACCCAGAGGGCGCCACGACCACTACCCCCCCCCCCCCCCCCCCCCCCCCCCCCCCCCCCCGTGCCCCTCAAGTGCTGGAACACAATAAGTTGCTTTACCACCTCGCCACTGTGTGACCCCAGACAAGTCACTGTCCGTCTCTGTGCCTCAGTTTCTTCATCTGTGGAACGGAGCAAAGGGAGAGCCCAATTCACAGGTCATTGGGAGTATCCGGCACTTTCTGTCTAGAAAAGGTGTTGGGCCAGGCCTGGGATAGAGTGCTTTCTCAGGGAGGGGAGGTTTTATGATCGCAGAGTAGACTCCCTGGCCCCTTCCAACCACTCACATTTTTCTCCCTGAATAATAGCCTTGGAGAAGTTTATGGGCTTCTCATTCCCCCTCTCCCATCTCCAGGGAATGGCTCCAAGGACCACTCAGGCTGCTGGTCCAGCCTGGTTCCAGCCCCCAGGCAGCCCTCCACGCAGCCCTCCATCCCCAAGGGCCGCCTTGGCCGTTAACTTTCAATGGCTGTGTGCAGAGAGGGAGGGAGCGGGGGCAGGGGACAGCAGCTGGAGGCCGTCCTGTCCCCAAGGAGCTGTCGGGGGAGAGTCCGTGGCTGGGCCTAGACAGCAAATGGCAGCAGCCTTCCCCGCCTGAGACGCTGGGGCCTGGGGGCCAGGGCCAGGGGCAGCCGTGACCCTGTGGACAGCACCAACAACTCACGTCCCGCGTGGGTTCGACATGGGTTAGCCGGTTTCCCTTTGGTTCAAAGCTGGGAGGGAAGTGCTCCCTTCGAGGTTCTGCGGGATAATTCGAGTTACTAAGCACCTACTGTGTGCCAGAAAGCTGCGGAGCTCCTTAGCAAGTGCACCGACCCCATTTTATCTTCATGGTAACAACCGTGGAATAGGTGCTGGCATGATCCCAGTTTACAGACAAGGAGACTGAGGCCCAGCATCTTGTCCAGAGGCATACGTTCAGGAAGGGGCAGAACAGCGTTGTTTTGTTGTTGTTGAAGTTTATTTATTTTGAGAGAGAGGGAGAGAGAGAGAGAGAGAGAGAGAGAGAATGCACGTAGGTGTGGGCAGGGAGAGAGAGAGAGAGGGAAAGAGAGAGAATCCCAAGCAGGTTCTGCACTGTCAGCGTGGGCCTGCTGCGGGGCTTGAACTCACGGACTATGAGACCATGATCTGGGCTGAAATCAAGAGCCAGATGCTTAACTGGCAGCCACCCAGGCGCCCCCAGGGCAGCAGATTTCAACTACCTGTCCCCACATTTGGAACTTATTCTAGAGGTCAGGTCCAACAACCTCCTTTTACAGATCGGGAAAGTGAGGCCCAGAGGAAGAAGGCAGACTTCTGGCTCCTTGGACGTTTACCCTCTCCCACAGCCATGCGGCTCTGTGGCTCTCCTTACAGATTCTGATGCCAGACTCTCAGTTCCTCCTCTAAGAAATGGGCAAAGCCCTTCCTTTCTTTGGACAGTGGTGTTTTCATCTGTGGATCACAGTGCTGGGCACACGATCATAAATACTCATCGGGTAGATGGATGGATGGGTAACTATCACCTGAGAAACAGTACGTCCGTGGAAATGTAGAGAGGCTTTGTGCTTAAGTGACGACAGGGTCCCACAGTGTGGACCAGGGTGGACAGAGGCCACCTGCCTTTCCTCTTAAGCCCCCCGCTGAGCTGCGTGTGGGGATGGTTTGACTCCCATATCAGTGTGGCTCCACCCATCAGTTGTAACCTCCTTGCAGGGGGGAGGCTGGGGGCTCCATCTGTCAGGGGCGGGGACGCTCCCAACATCCTTACACCCTTCCTCCCTCGAGGTGGCCAGAACAACTCCTCCAGCTACCTAACAGGCATGGGAAAGAGACGTAGCCTTTCTGGGGTCCAGCCTTCCTGGGTTCACCCCTAGAAACGCGTGTGCGCGCACACAAAGACATACACACACACGCCCCCCACCCCACCCCTGCCAAGTTCCAGCCAAGTTCTAGCAAGGAGAGATTCCCTTTTCCAGCTTCCTAATCAAATCATGTCCTATTAGGCTCACTCTTGTCCCAGTTGGGAATCCCCTAGCTTGCTCAACTGCATTTGATTTTCTTTTTCCCGTGAACGGTTACAAAAGATGTTACA